CCTGATCTATCACAGTGGAGACATGCTGAGAGCAAGATGTATAGAATACACACTTTTCTGTCTCTCTTCTGTATATTTTCATTTCTTTCACTGCTTATTTTCTGTTTTGGGGTCAGACTAATTTTACAATTTTGGGGTCCTGATAAAAGCAGTTGTGACAGAACACTTAGACTTATCCTGATGTGTGTATCACCAGTCTAGTATTGTCTTATGTTCGTGGATTATTTATGCGTTGCTTTTCTAATTTGAGTGTTCCAAAACGCAGCGAAATTTTTTGAAAGGGTTTGATGGACCATTGTGTCAATTCCATGTTTCTAACGGTCTTTCTTTGAACCCGTAGATGAGATTGTGTGCACACTTGGAGAGGGAGCCTTTGGTAAAGTGGTGGAGTGCATTGATCATGAAAAGTAAGTCTTCATGCTAGGGCTGTGCGATTAATCGAAATCGTCATAAAATCGCGATTTGAGCTTGCGCGATTTCTAAATCGCTTTATAGCACGATTTTCCGCGCCCCCGACCTCCCGCAGTATGCTATCCGAACCAATCAGAATGCAGCGTGCCTAAATGGAGCACCAGAACAGAACAGACCAGGCGGGCATACAAACGTAACGCCAGGTTCACACACTCCGTCTGTGGTGCGTATTTTTTCCGCGCCCATGTTAATGGATCAGAGCGTTCACACTGCACGCGATTGCGGTCCGGCAGTGCGCTCCAGGAGCGGTGCGTCTGCAGCAGTCATGCTGCGATCGTTTCCGCACGGAATCTATTTCTGCTGTGCTGCACGCGCTGAATTAAAGTGACAGCGCATTATTCGCGGTAAAAATTAACATGGATTGACACGGAAATTTAGTAATTACATACTGTATATGCACTGCAGACGGAGTACGTGTGAACTTGGCGCAACAAATGTAGTTCAACATCTGAGGCAACGCCACAAAGAGCTCTATGACCAATCAATGCATGGCAAAAAAAATCCCTGGACACGGGATTTATTATTATTTTTTCTGCCATGTCTATTCTAGAGACATTTTGTTACACCTTTACTTAGTGATTATTTTGCCTTATGTCTGTTCTAGAGACATGTTACAGCTTTTTGATAAAGCTCTAATTGGTTTTCTTTTGGAAATATGTTTCAAATTCACTTTGAATGCATTAATGACTGTCAAGCATGTCTGTGTGTGTCAAAATCGTGATTAAAATCGAAATCGCAAAATTGATGAAAGAAATCGCGATAGTTTTTTTTTGTCCATATCACACAGCCCTACTTCATGCCACATTTTAGCATCTTAAAATTTATTGCTCTCGAAGACCCCATATTGATTATAATCAAAGGTTGCAGTGAAATGGAAATAGCAACAGATCTTTTCTTCTGTATTGTGGTGTAAAATGAAACTGATTATTGAAATATATATGCCGTTTCACCAGAAGATTGAGTTACAGGGACAAAAGAAATTTAAATCAAAATGTGCTCAGATTAATTGTTCAATTTAAAGAGATAATGAAACATTTCTGAAAATGTACTCACCCTTAGGACACCCAAGATGTAGATGAGTTTGTTTCTTCATCTGAACAGATGTGCCAAAATTTAGCATTACATCACTTGCTCACCAGTGCATCTTTTGTCATGAATGGGTGCCGTCAGAATGAGAGTCCAAACAGCTGATAAAAACATCACAATAATTCACACAACTCCATGGTCTCTGGGACTATTTTGGCCAGAAAAAGTGGTTTAAAGTTAAAATGCCTTAACTGATGGACTGCATTCATGTGGATTATTGTGATGGTTTTTATCAGTTGTTTGGACTCTCATTCTGACGGCACCCATTCACTGCAAAGAATCCACTGGTAAGCAAGTGAATGCTAAATTTCTGTAAATCTGTTCTGATGAAGAATCAAACTCCTCTAAATATTGGATTGCCTGAGGGTGAGCACATTTTCAGCAAATTTTCATTTTGGGTTAACTAGCCCTTCAAGATCAATAATATGTGTTTAGAAAATAGAATTTATTTCATGTCAGCTTTAAATGTTAAGTGTCGAGAAATGCTTTGGTTGATTATGTGTCCAATAATAAGTGCAGGCATTTTTGTGTTTTCATGTGTGTTAATGAAATTACTATACGTTGCTATTTCAGGGAAGGAGCTCGCGTTGCGCTGAAGATCATTAAAAACATTGAGCACTATCGTGATGCAGCTCTGTCTGAGGTTGAGGTGCTGGAGCAGATTAACTCGCTTGACTGTGACAGACGATAGTAAGTGCCTGTGAAAGCAGATGAGAATGAAATCTTAAGTAATTTATGCCTCTGTGATGCATGGCTGTGTAATATATCACACTTAATTTGAAATTTACAGCCTCCTGGCTGTATAGAAGTCCAGACTACAAATTAACAATGCAGTTTTTCATAACTATTTTTCCTTTCTTCAGTGCTTGTGTGCGGATGTATGACTGGTTTGATCACCACGGGCACATCTGCATCGCCTTTGAGCTGCTGGGCTTGAGCACGTATGATTTTCTGAAGGAAAATAGCTTTCAGCCCTTCTCTGTCAACCACATCAGGCACATGGCCTACCAGATCATCAGAGCAGTCAGATGTGAGTCACGGATCTTGTTTGAATGAATTTTTTTCTGTGTATTTTGGACAAAACATAGATTTATTCTTTTGCATTTCTTTGCTTCTTTGTGTCTTAGTTCTTCACAAGAATAAGCTGACACACACTGACCTGAAACCAGAGAACATCCTCTTTATTAATTCAGAGTATGACATCAAGTACAATCCAAAAATGGTAAGGAGAGACATTGACTCCATTCAGACCGGTGCTATTTTAGTATTATTTATGTACTATAAATGATTATATTTAATATTTTGTGCTTTTGTCATTTCATTAGGTTTTATAGAATTAAACATTTCTATTATTACTGAAAAATATTTCTATTACTAACAATATAGAAAATATTTTTCAGTTTTAGTAATTGTGGTAATTCGATTTAAATCTATTTAATTTAGTTGCCAGTGGAACCTTTCTAAATTTGTTTAAAATTTTCATTAAATATTTCCATTTATATAGATATTTTCAATAGTTTGTTAACAAAAACAGCACTGATTCAGACATGCTCTGTTACCATGTATTGTGCAATCAATTAATAGTGTTGTTTGAAATTGTAGAAGAGGGATGAGAGAACTTTGAAGAATCCTGATGTGAAAGTAGTTGATTTTGGGAATGCAACATATGAGCATGAGCATCACACCTCAGTGGTGTCTACACGACATTACCGAGCTCCAGAGGTTATTCTGGGTAAGCAGTTATGGATACATTGTTTTTATTTATACATTCTGAGGTACATTGACAGCACACTTGCTATGATTGCTTGTGTTGTGAGCTATAACAGCGATATCTGTCTGTTTAACAGATCTAGGCTGGAGTCATTCCTGTGATGTGTGGAGTGTGGGTTGCATTCTTATTGAGTATTATCTGGGATCGACTCTATTTCAGGTAATTGTCTTCTGAGTTCAAATTAGTTAATTTGTTAACTTTGGGTACACATGACTTGTTGATTCAGCACTTATTTAGGAGTTTGTTGTTTTTGAAATTATAGACGCATGATAGCAAAGAGCATCTGGCCATGATGGAGCGAGTGCTGGGCCCTATACCGACACACATGCTGCAGAAAACAAGGTAATTTCAATGTTTGTATTAAATTGAATTGATGTTTTTGTGTTTTGAATTTTACAACTGTAATTTAGCCCTGGAAAAGTCATGGAAATGGAAAACAATTTATGTAGTTATGCTCTATAATATAGTAAACGGTAATACTTCCTTAGCTAGAAAATGCTCTCCATGAGTGAAATTAGTGTAAAGTCCTTATCCAGTAACCACAGATGCTTGAAAAGTCATAAAAAATAGCAAAAGGAGGCAGAATCTTTAGTTTGAAGTCCCTGAAAAGCGGTTTCTTAATTATTTCTTAGTTTGATCTTTTTGCAGAATTTGGCAGATTTTTATTGTTTGAACTTTCTTTTATTAGCTTTGATTCCACATTCTGCTATTGTGTGTATATATACAGAATCAAAATAGCTTTTTTTTTCTCATTATGCAGGAAGAAGAGATATGTTTGCCATGATAAGCTGGACTGGGACGTTCACAGCTCCTCGGGACGTTATGTTAGGAAGCAGTGCAAGCCACTGAGAGTAAGTTTTTCATTCTTGTTGTTTTACAACTCAAGTTGGTTTTGGGTCAGTTGAGGTTTTTGTTTTTACTTTTACTTCTGAATTGCTAGTGACTTTAATTTTCTTGCAGCAATACATTGGCTCCAGGAGCTCTGACCACATACAGCTGTTTGATCTCTTAGAGAGGATGCTTGAATATGATGTCACGAAGCGGATCACCCTGGATGAAGCCATCAAACACCCTTTTTTTGACTCGGTCAGGAAGAACAAAAAATAATTGATGGGTTCTCTTGCTTTTTGCTATAGTTCCTCTCTGAGAGAGGCCGTTTCAGTCGACTGTATCAGTCCTCTGTATAGATCATACACTGCTGTCTTCTCATTTATATTTATTGTGCTTGTTTTTCAGTTTAGGGTATGTGACCTTTTGCTCTTGAGTTCTCCATTGATTTGTACTTGTGTTGTAACTGCATCACATGACGGAGAATAACTGTGAATGGGCAAGGTTTTAGGGTATTAAATATGTACGATAATTGTCACAGATTTGTTACCATTATCAATATGAACGTAGTGATATTTGTAAATGTCTTCAGTTATTCCTTGGTTTTTAAATAAAATCAGTTCATGATCAGAATCGTGTCTTATGGAGGTATAATGTTCTCATGCGGTCAATAGGGGGCGGTAGATCACAACTAAATCTTCACATACAGAATATATTTCTGTTTCTAGGCATATGGATTTGTGTAAGTGTACTGTCGACGGGGGACAGTCAAAACATGGTTTAGAGATAGTTTGGTTTATACATTTTACATGTATTAAATACATATACATATTGGTTTTCTTTTCCAACCATAGTGTGTTTAGTGTTATCGCTGAGTTCAATAGCGGTGTGTTTTCTCATGACTTTCAAAACGCATCGGCTGGATAGCAGGCTGCGCGAGCTGGAGATGAAGATGACTGACATCTGTCAAGAATCAGCCAAGGACGTCTCTGTTCCACTGGAACTGCGGGAATCCATTGAAGCACTCTTACAAGAGGCAAGCATTTTAATTCTTCATAAAGGAAAGCTGCAACATCATCCAAATGTTTCGTTCTACTGTTTCACCTGTTTCTGTATTATGTTGATTTTATTCAATTTAATTTAGACTGATTAATTCACAGCTAGTTATAATTAATCCCATCAACGCATAGCCTGCTCGTCAGTTGCCAGTGCATTTGAAAGCATAAATATCTATCTATCTATCTATATATCTATCTATCTAAAAGGATTATAGATTTAAATATAATTCTGCATGTGCAGCAACAGGTGCTTTTATGTGATAAGTGATTTTTAAATAAACATAATTATGTTGATTTATTTGGATTTTACTGCTAAATTCTTGTAGTAAAGATTGTTCTTCTCGTTATAGTGTATTCATTTAAAAAAACTAAAGTGAATGCACTATATACGTTTTCCCAGTCATGATTATTTTAAGAATTACAGAATGTATTACAGAATATATATATATATATTTTAATTCTTCATAAAGGAAAGCTGCAACATCATCCAAATGTTTCGTTCTACTGTTTCACCTGTTTCTGTATTATGTTGATTTTATTCAATTTAATTTAGACTGATTAATTCACAGCTAGTTATAATTAATCCCATCATCGCATAGCCTGCTCGTCAGTTGCCAGTGCATTTGAAAGCATAAATATCTATCTATCTATCACAAACTCATCTACATCTTGGATGACCTCAGGGTGAGTAGGGGAGAGCTGGGCACAAAGTAACACTTTTTGACTTTCTCAGTTTGTGTAAATCCACATGGGGTTAGAGTATAATTTTTTTTATCCACAGTAATTTCACACTTGTCTAGTACAAATATGTCGCTTTGTTTCATAATTACAGTGTATACGTTTTTCTTTATTTTCCCTCAAAAATTGGAAGTGAAAAGTGACAACATGCCCCGTAGGTGGGGTACACTGTAACATCTGAGGGGCACGTTGTTACATGACCATATAACAGCTTAAAATGCTATCTGATCGAATGAAAAAATTATACAAGACAAACTAAAATATAAAAATAATCTGATTTTGGAGTTTGACAATGAACACATTGCAACCATGCTTGGGACGGCCCACATAAACGAGCCAAAATGCTTTACATGTCTTGAAACAATAATTTCTTAACATTAAACATTGACTGTCAGTCTTTATTCACCTGTTTCTCGTCGTTTATCATTAAAATGTATTAAAGTAAATAGTCTGAATTACATCGCTAATGTCATAGAATAGCACGGCAGGGTACATTGTAACGCAGTGTTACAACGTGCCCCATCTGCGCAACTGGAATTTAAAACTGGTTACTGTCTTCTGATAGTTAGCGAAGCATTAAAAAATAATCTAAACTGCTAAATAACAGATTGGAGATTAAAATAATAGCAGATTTGTCTAATTTTAAATGAGTATTAAAAACTGAGATAAAAAATTTACTTAATCCAGAAATATAATTTTACTATGGTAAAATAAATGTTCAGCGATATCTTCAAAATACTTTTGATATTTGGCGCACTTTTGTTCTCTATATAATGTTGATATAGTAACTAGTAAATTCTGTAAATTTGGTTATGCTGGCATGTGTGGAAATATTTAACAACTTACAATTTACCCCGCGTTACTTTGTGCCCCGCTCTCATATATATATATATATATATATATATATTCTGTAATACATTCTGTAATTCTTAACATAATCATGACTGGGAAAACATATAGTGCATTCACTTTTAAATAACTTACTTTATATATATTAATATATATAATATAACTTAATATATATATGTAATTTATTAGGAAGTTGTAATATATTAAAATATGTAAAATCACCATAAATTACAAACATGTGAAACATCAGAATAAAAGAATGCAGCAGAATACTATATAATCGGTAGGCTACTATGTAATCCAATACTATATAAATAATCATACTATGTTGTTTGCCAGTGTTTTTGAAACCTTTTTTTAACTAAGGAGTAATAGCAAATTCACAAAAATATTTTTCCTCTATAAACATGTAGGACCATGAGCAACACTGACACTTATGGTGTCTCTTCAATATTCAGATTACTGCTCAGTCATTGTGGATTTATTAATGACTGATTCTTAAAATTTGATCTACCCCAAATTTGAATAATTACTTTCCTCTCTGTTGTATTTCACATTTCAGAGGCTGAATGAAGCGATGCCGAAGTTGCGTGTGGTGAGAGACGTGACACAAGACTGCAACTGTCCTCCAGGTACCTCCATGAATCTGCTCTGACGGACTGTTCAGTTCCGAAACATGGGAACTCCGGGATGAAACCTGATAGAAAATGTGATAAATTCATTAATGTCTTGTTCTTGAACAGTGATTGCAAAGCTGTGATGTGGATGAGAGGAGGGTAAATCAGTTGTAGACAGACAGATTGGAGGACTGAAAGTGCAGGTTTTGGTAACTCTGAAATTTGTAGATCAGATTAGTAACTAACTACAGATATTAGATACTGATTGGTCAATTAAAGCATTTTGCAACCAAATATTTTTGGATAATGACGCTAAACTATAAAGTCAATTGATTTCCTACATAGCTGTTCTAGTTTCATGTCTTTCGTATTATTCTTTTAAAAAATACCTTAAATAGTTGATGTCTGTTTAGAAGTCTTATAATCAGCCTATCATGCTTTTGGAGTTTATTTAGTGATAATGTTGGCTGACTGGAGTCGGGACGTCAAACCAGCCCTAAAACTTCGAATAAGTGTTTGTTACATGCAGTGTTCCTAAGGCAATTAGAAATCATCATGATTATAGATCACTTCATACTGCTCTGTGCATTTCCAATTGTAATTTTAAATACAGAGGGAAGGAGAAAATGTGGAGCTGTTGCATATTGATGAATTGGTGGTTGCAGAGAGTTTTTTTGGGCTCCTCTCTCACAAAATGTGGTTGTTAAACATGGGGTTGGTGGTAACTTGAGTTCGGGTGCATTGAGAAACTTTGAGGAACTGCTGTCTGTCATTTTCTTTTTCACAATCACTCTTTACATCAAGTCATGGTGCTTATAAAATCCAGTGTTTCCATAAATGTATGTGGTTTCACATCTGAGGGGAGATATCGGTGTCGCAGGACAAGAGGGAGGTCATAAGCATCTGTTTATAGGTTCTGAGCGTGAGTGTGTGTGTGTGTGTGTGAAGGGGCCCCAAGTATGCGTCTGTGTGAGTGTGTATTTCTGTTTGTTTGTGTGGGTAGTGCCGCAGAAGGACCAACAGAGGCACCGAACTGTAAGGTGAGACCCTTTCATTTTAGAAGCAATAGTTGCCACCTGAAACCTGAAGCATGTTGAGCGGTCCTGGCAGGCAGGATCAGAGGGAGAAGTATTTCTGTCTCCACAACAGACTGGGCAAGTTATAGTGTGTCGCCCCCTACAGGAGCTGCTTGGAAGGACACTGATGAGAGGAATAGTTTAAAACCTTGAATGACTTTATTTCTTCCATGAAGCACAAAGGTTGAATTTATTTTTTCCCATGCAGTTGCAATTAATAAAGCTTTTAAGATACAAAAAGGATGCAAAAACACCATAAAAGTATGATAAAAGTGCTTATTTTCTGTCTTCTGAAGCCATACGATAGCTCTGTGTGAGAAAAAAATTGCTTAGCACCTTTAAAGGATAGGCTTTTCAACCCTTTTCAACCTTATTTTATTGTTTATCATTTTTATTTTTCAGTCTGCTATAATTTAGAGAACGCTGTAATTTTTTAACCCATTCCTTATTATGATTATTATTATTATTATGGGTTTTTTTTTGCCACTATACTTGATTGCAAAAGCCTTTTGAGTTAAAAAAATTTGGAGAGAATAAAAAAAATAGAGAGAATTTATCTTAATTTAAAGTATTGATCATGCTAAACACAATTGTGATGTTTTTTTTCTTCCACTTTCTGAAGTTTATCAAAACTGTAGAAATGAGCTAAGTGTTGAAGGAGGTCCCTGTCATGTCTTTCTCCTTAACCACATAGCTTCTTTCATTTCTTCTTCCTCTATTCATTTCTATGGTGGAATGAGTTCTCCCTAGTTAACTGTTGACTGAGATGGTTGTCCTTGCATGCTAAACGATGCCCCGTCTGTTATCACCCATTTTCACCAGGCACTGTTTGACAACAAGCTGTAACTCTCAAATGAAAGCACGAGAGATCTTTAACTCAGTCACATCTTCCTGTCTCATTTTTCAGGCTTGCGTGTTCTCATTCACTCTATTTAGTCCTTGGAAAGGTTGGACAAGGTCAAGGACACATTTCTTCCCTTTCCTACATTCATTGCCTTAAGGATTTATTGTCTTTCGTCACCCTTTTTTGAAAGTCACCATGCAACATGCACAAGTCTATTCAGGAAACATCTGAGCTGTAGGTGTGGTGTGTGTTTGGTAGTGATTGACTGAAGCCAAGGGTCTCTTCGTCTTGTTTAATGCCCATTTCATTTGTTGATTAATTAATTCGTTTTTTAACACATACTTTGTGTAAATGGACTGGGATTATCTGTGTCCATTTAGTTGTGGATAGCGATCCTGTAGCTCAAACAGTACAGCATTGCATTAGGAATGCCAAGATCATGGGTTCAGGTCTCAGGGAATGCATGAATTGATAAAACATGTTCCTTAAATGCATGTAAATCGCTTTGGATAAAAGCATCTGCCAAATGCATAAATATAAATGCATTCCAGGTTTTGCCAAGTCTCAGCCTCAAAAGTCATGCTCATGGACCGCCTGCTGAAAATCTGATGTGTGTTGCACAGAAAAATCGCAAACAATTTCTTGATCTGGCCTCAAATCTGATTTGCTGGCTGGTATCTAAATGATGCTTCATAGCATCAAATCTGTTCCTGTAGTTCAAACAGCAGAGAATGCTACCGATATATCAGGATTGAGGGTTCGATTCCCATGGAACTCATTAATCAAAGGAATCGGAAATTTGCTGAAAATGTATTCACCCTCTGGCCATTCAAGATGTAAATGAGTTTATTCATTCATCATCTTTGGAGAAATTTAGCATTACATCACTTGCTCACCAATGGATCCTTTGCATTTAGCAATATTGTGGATAGAATATTAAACAATATTATGGATAGAGAACTCGTATTTCAGCAATAAGCAAGTCGAGTTGTGTGGATTATTGTGATGTTGTAATCAGCTGTTTGCACTCTCGTTCTGATGGCACCCATTCACTGCAGAGGATGCATTGTTCTGATGAAGAAACAAACTCATCTACATCTTGGATGACCTGAGAGTGAGTACACATTCAGCAAATTTTCATTTTTGAGTGAACTATTCCTTTAACATTACTAGTAAAAAAAAAATACTCACAATGCGCTGTAATTGATTTTGGATAAAAATATCTGTGAAATTTTGAATTTTTTGTTTAAGGCACAAGATATCCAATAGCAGTAGTTCTTAAATGATTTCTGATTTAGGAAATTAATAGACATTCCCTGTGCAGCACACTGCATGTTAGTCAACCTTTTCAATCATAAAGTGCGACTAGACTTTATGCTTAATTGACATTCATTCATATATGCATGCAAACATGGGAGACTGTAAACGCAAGCTCTTTCGTAGACGTTTTGCATTCCGTTGCAAATGAAAGTTCAAGTTTGGTGAACTCTGACCTGCCTTCACATACTCAAAGTCTTAAGTGGACGGCCAATGCGGGCCAGGATATTGTGCAGCATTTACTCATAGTCACACAGTTTTATCAGGCACATCAAATCACAGCTGAAAGTATTGGATATCAGTGGGCTCATCTCATTTGAAGCAACAGTAAGATACAGCATTTCCTATTTCGCCTGTTAGAGATTACATTATTAAACATCAGTGAATAATTGATCTCCGACTTGTTAATGACTGTACGTGGTATTAACATACAAAAGGTGTCAGAAAGGTTTAATCTGGATGGGTTTTTGGAAGCGCTCAGAAATCAGAGAGGGTTTTGGGTGTGGCAGCGGGATCTGATGGACTCAGCACTGTATTTACTTTCATCCCTCCAAAAGGTCTGGCTTAAAATATCCGGCTAGGGCATGTGCATATGTGTAATATCTCACTAGGAAGTGGTGCAATTAGATACGCTGCATGCTCACGACTGTGCAAAAGACATAGGACATGAATCATTCTCCAGAACCATTCTATAAAGCAGTGCTGGTTTTGTTTCAGGACCTATTTTACGTTGGACATCAAGTGGCGACACTTTTTGCTGAATGATTTTTTATGAAGTAAACATAAGAGTAACTTTTATATTCTTAGAAATATTTCAAGATGAAAAATATTTCCCTTTCTGGACCAAAGCACCTTAGGTTTACATGATTATCTCTGCATTTGTTTTCTTTTAGAAAAATAATGTTTAAATGTAAGTATCAAATATGACACATCCGGATTTTGAGGAACAACTATACAATTGATCAAACTGATAGGCTTTTTTTTTATGTAAGTCGTCTGTTATACTGTTATAAAGATCTCATTGATTTATATTACAAGCTATCAGAATTTCATCTTTTTGGCCATATAAATATCAGCAACTGCATCAAATTACATATTTTTGCTCAATCTGAATAAAATGTATGTTTTTTTTCCTTGAATATGAGCTCCAGATGTATCACATACTGTACCTATGATGTTCAACAAAATCACAAATGCAAACTTTTGTTGAAAAAAAAAAAAAAGTCTAAAGGTTGAATAACATGTTTCATACAAAAAAGAAAGAAAGAAAAGGTTGTGATTAAAAATAGATTCTGACAATTATTTCAAATGTCAGGGTATACAGGATTAATAAACCTTTTATTTATTTATGAATATTATTAATATTGATGAATATTATTATTGGCATACAGCATGTTTTCCCCTTCTGTCTAGCATTTTTGGGCCACTACCCACTAATTGAAAATCATTTAATGTTAAGCCATCTTTTATATTACTGATGATATTGATCACTTGTGTTCTGACAGCAGTCAAAATGACTAAGCAGGTTAAGAGGAGCAAAGGATGTTGACCCCAGTCTCTGTATGGGTGGCATGACGGGTCCTTCAACCAGACCGAATCTCCATTGCTTGCTTCAGTGTTCACCTTCAGTTGTCTTTCAACAGGTATCTTATTAAAGTTTGCTTTGTAAAGTCACACCCTGTGCATTCTTCCATCTGAAAAATAAACAGCTCACGGGCCTGTTGGTGTAAATCGGTGGTATGAAACAGAGTCTAAATACTTCAACCGTACCGACCCCG